CGCAGCCGCCGCGGGCACTGGCGCGCCCAGGCTGGGTGGCGGCAGCCCCGCCACGTCGAAAACGGCCCGAACCGCCCTCACAGCGCGGCCGTGGACGATGGGTGACGCCCGAATGCCCTGGACCTCGAGCTGGTTGAGCGCGTTGACCAAGACCTGCTCCGGGATGGCCACGAAGTCCGTGACGGTGGTGCCCGAGTCCCCGCCGACGGCCGCCACCAACGCCGTGGCCATGTCACCGCCGAAACCGGTTGTCTCGAGGCTGGTGTGAAGCGTGAGCCCCGCCATTGCCGACGGCGTGCCACGCGGCGCCGCCGCTGCCTTGGGGAACGGCCCGTGAAGAGCACCTCCCCCGACCGGGGCTGGAGCCGCTGACGCGTCGGGGAAGCCGCCGAAATCCATCGCGAGAGCTGCAGAGAAGCCCCAAATGGACCGGCAGGGACACAGCGAGAGTCGCACGTCAGCGCTAGAGCCAAAATGGCCGCGGACGGTGCGAGCATGCCCGCCACGGGTGCCCATGTGCCACTCGCACTATACATAATGCACACGTTCAGGGTTCGACCGCCCTGCAATGGACCCACCACCATCGCGGGACCGCCTGCGCGCGAAACCCAAGTCGTTGCAAGCTCCGTGCGCTATTCTGCGAGTATCTGTTTTGTTCAAGGCTTTGCACTACCCTGTACAGCTCTGGTGAAGTGTACTCTGCCGTTCACCTCTGGGCTTCCCTAAGCGTCCTGCTGGCGAGCCTCAATTGAGAGTCACTGAGGTGCTCCTGGCAATGAAACATCCGTGTGCGCAGCTTTCGCCAAAGGCAACAACAGACTTGACTGCTTCTTTTGGCGCCGCTGAAAGAGCATATCACTAAGGCGCGAAAAAATAATATGCGCAGCTTCCGTCAAACAACAGACTTGACTGTTTTTCGGTGCGCACCCGGACAGAGGACCAGCCAAGCGGGGAAATAGAAGCCTCCAAAAATGGGGTCCGAATAGATGGTGTCGGAGGACCGCGCCGACGTCGGCGTGGAGAAAATCGGGCCTCGCATCGAGCCGCATCGCCCGTGCATCGGCGATGCGGTAACATCCTCCGACCCAATCTACTCGGACCCCATCTGGGAGGCCTGAGAAGGGCACGTCCGCTGGGAAGAGTGAAGAACTAGAATCGGCGTCGGCATGCCTTTCTCCCTGGTGCTGGGCGCCCAGGGCCGTCTCGCGTCGCCAGCGCTGCCCTCGCACCCACCGCGCCGTCTGGTGATCGCTGCCGCTGAAGGGGCGCGGGCGCTGGTGTCGCGGGCCCCTGGGGGCCCCTAGCCGCTCAGAGAACCGTCTTGGCCAACAACGGGAACGCTACGCACCATGGACGACGCCAACCCTGCGGCAAGCCAGCTCCGGAGGCCTTCCGGAGGGTGTCCGAGCAGGCGGCGCCAGAGGATGGCGCTGCATCGCCGATGTACTGTCGGACCAGGCCTGAAAAACATTCCTCAAGAACATGGAACCCTCCGTCGGCCAAAACAAACGGAGCGCCCAAGGATACCTTTAGGTCGGGCGTGTCCCCCAACAGGGGGATTTTGGGCGAAAAATTAAAACTACTCAAAAAATCCGCCGACCCTGTCGGCGTGTGGAAGATGCTTTTCCGTTCGTCGTGAACGTCGTCGTCGTCGTCGTCGATGCTCTTCCGTTCGTCGTCGTCGTCGTCGTGGTCGTGGTCGTGGTCGTCGTCGTCGTCGTCGCCCTCCCCTCAGGCGCGCCAGCCAAAGCGAAACCAAAGCGAAATCGAGCAACGTCGTAGCTGAGTCGAAGGCAAAGCGAAATTGAGAAACGTCGTAGCTGAGTCGAAGGGAAGCCCCTTCCCTTTGATCCCTTCCCCGCCGGGGGGGGGGTCCCGGGGGGGGGGTCCCGGGGGGGGGGGGGGGGGGGGGGCAGATACGCATCCCCCCCGGGATGTCCCGGGACCTAGAAAAGCCCCCAGACTGGCCAAGAGTGCCCCAAGAGGCTTCCAAGACGGCTCCAGAGGGCCCCGAATCGCCGAACCATCGGTCGAAGACGCCAAAGTAGCCTCCAGACGGCCCAAGAGATTGCCAAGACGCTCCAAGAAGTCTCCAAGAGCACTCCCAAGAGGGCACGAAGAGGGAAAAATCAATGATTTCCTCAGTTTTTGACAGATTTTGGCGTTCTCGCCGTTTCAACTTGCCGACGCTCCAAGACGGCCTCAGATGCCCCCAAGACTGCCCCAAACTGGCCCAAGAAGGCCCCGAGAGAGTCCCCGAGAGAGCCCCAGAGAGACCCTTGCAACGTCGTCGTCGTCGGCCAAAGACGCTCCCGAGAAAGCCTCACGATTGCCAACAACGGCCTCAACACGACCCCCCCCCCACACGAGACCCAAAGATACCCCCAAGAGGCCCCCCCCCGCCACATTAGAGAACGCATGGTTCGCCCTCCAGGGTCGGCGGCACCGGCCGTAAGGCCTTCGCAATATTCCAGAGATGATCAAAAATTGTCCTGACTACTTTTGAAGATTCCCCCTGTAGAGGGACAGGCCCGACTTAAGGATACCCTCCCAGGGTGCCCTAGAACATCCAACAACCACGAATAACACTAGGGCGCCGTCCCCGAACCGACCGCGATCTTATACCTCGTCCCGGCTGCATCGGCGGTACGTTGGCGACGTCGGCGATGCATCGGCGACGTGAGCGGAGCGGAGCGGAGCGGAGCGGAGCGGAGCGGAGCGGCCTGCGGAGCGGAGAGGAGCGGTCCCCTAAACAGGGAAGGCGGCACAAAGAAAATAACGGCTAAGGGGCGACCGCCGGAACCGTGCAACCGAAGAACCTGGCGAATGTGTGCGAGGGCACTCGTTCGTGACCGCAAAGTAAGTGAGACAACGTGAAGGGGCCCTGGGACACACAAATAAATAGACACAAGCAAAAAGATTCCCTATATTTCCCCGTATTTTCTGGGTTTTCGTCTTCCCCCCCACTTCCCATATCTTCCCATATTTTCAGGGGAATCGACGACTAATTGTGTCTGTGTTTTTTCCCCTCCTGACAACAGTCGTGTTAGAAAATCGGCGCCAGGGGGGGGGGGGGCGCGGCGTCTCCGAAGGCTCAGAGGGCCTCTGGCCGTCTGAGAGGCCTGTCAAGCCATGTCCAAAGCACACACACACACACACACACACGAACAAACGGCTTCTCAGAAGGCGCGAGGGCTTCTGAGCAGCCCCGCCGCCTTCTGAGAAGGCCTCGGCCATGCTGCATCGGCGATGCGTTGGCGACGTCGGCGATGCATCGGCGATGCATCGGGCGTCACATCGGGCCGCATCGCCGCCGCATCGGCGACGCTGCGCGGTCCTCCGACCACGTCGGGGATCTTCTGACCGGGGTCAATGCAGACCCGGTTCAGTCAGGCCTTGCAGAATCCTGCAAAATCCTGCAAGAGCCTGCGCCCAAACCCGGGTCAACGCGGAGGATCCTGCAAGATCCTGCAGGATCCTGCACCCAAACTCAGGTCAATGCGCCCCTGGCCCTGTAGGATGCTGCAAAATCGAGCGCTCTGGCTGACCCCCGTCTGCATTGACCCCCGTCTCAAGGCTCCCGACCACGTCCAAACACTCGGGCACTGGTGCACGTCGCCGCGCGCACCTGGCATGCACGGCAACGTGCATCGGACTTGCACGTGTCGGTGGCAACCCGTGGGAGCCTCCGAATCGACGCTGCCCGACGCTAACGGACGCGAGTCGACGCCAACTGACGCTGACTGTGCATTTCGGTGCCATTGAAGGGGAACTGGGACACACAGATAGATAGACACAAATAACCAGATTCCCCATGTTTTCCCATACTTTCTGGGTGTCTGTCTTCCCCCCACTTCCCATATTTTCCCATATTTTCTGGGGAATCGACGATGAATTGTGTCTGTGTGTTTTTTCCCCTCCTGAGCCATCTTGTTCGGTACCATCTGGTTGGCTCTTGCGAATCGGCGCCAACTGACGCTGACTCGACGCTGATCGACGCGAACCGATGCTAATTCGACACTCGGATCGGCGCTAACTCAGCGCTCTCCCATCGATTACCAGACGCTGGCCCGTGCTAGTGCACTATGAAGATGGACTTTCGAGGACACACAACGCTCCCCTGATTTGCTCCCGAAGTACGTGGTTGGCGAAAATCTTCCATGCGGATCCTCTGCCTCGGGGGTTGGTAAGATGTGCCCCTGGCCCAAGGTGCCCCCAATTTTTCGCTCTCCAGTGGGCCACTGGGGGCCCCCTCGGCCTCGTGAAGGGCGCCCTGGAAGCTGTGAGGGCCTCCTTGGACATCCTGGGGGCATCTTGGGCCAAGGGCACTTTGTGGGGAAACTCAAAGGCATACTCCCCAGACCTCTCCCAGGGTGCGTTCTGACAAGAGCTTCGAGGCGAATCCAGCGGTGGCGACGAGGGCCTCCCAGGAAGCCCAAAAAGGGAAAAGCGGGACGGGTAGTGGTATGGGCAACTTGTCCTCCTCAGACTTCGAGCAGCACCCGACTGGCCGGTACAATACCGATTCGCCTTGTCGCCGCCGACCTCTGGCCCAGTGCGGGTTCAGCGGCGCGGGCTGCGCCCTCGAGGCCCGCCACGGGGCCTCCGAGGGGAACAAAAAATGGCTGAGACCCCTCATGACGGCCCAAGATGGCTCCAAAACAGCTCAAGATGGCTCCAAGCCTGCCGAGTCTTGGCCCCAACACGGCCTCAGACGACCCCATGGACGGCCTCAGGCCGCTTCACGACGGCCCCATGAGATCCCCCAGACGGCCACGAGCCTTAAGGGGAACGACGCGGGGAAGGGCCAGTTCAGAGGGGCACATCGACCTGGAATCGGCGAGCGAGCGCGGATAGGTCGGCGATGGGCCCCCGATAGCGAGTCCGCACGCTGCTTGGGGGGGCTGCGAGGCCCATCTCGGCGACGCGTGGGCGATTGAGGGTCCGATGCGCCCCGCCCCCATGCCCACCGATGTCTGCCCGAGGGCCGAGCGGAGCTCCTGCGGTGGGTGATGCCGTCCAGGGTGCAGTAGTTGATCAGCAAGAACGCGTAGTTGCAGGCGAACACCCACAGGAGCGGAAGCTCGCCCAGCCTCTCTGGAGACAGAACGCCCTCGAACAGGAGCGGACGGGAAGACATCGCAAGCAGGGCAGACGCTGCACCAGAAAGGCACCGCACGACGGAAAGGCCCTGACCGGAGGGCTGCAAAGGCCACGGCGTGGAGGAGAATGAATGGGCCCTGGGACACACAAATAAATACACACAAGCAAAAGGATTCCCCGTACTTTCCCATATTTTCTGGGTTTCTGTCATCCCCCCAACTTCCATATTTCCCCATATTTTCATAGGAATCGGGGGTGTCTGTGTGTTTTTTCCCTCCTGAGAGAAACAAGGCGCGCACTGAAGACGACGAACGTATCTGCCTCCACGCGCGCAGCGCGGCTGCCGCAGCACCTCGCGGCGCGCGCGGCACAACGTTCTCAGCCTCGGGTGGGGCCGCGCGGGCCACGAGTGAAAAAGGCGGGAGCATCTGGACAGGGCCCGCGGCCAAGCTTGGGGATCCCAAAACCGTGCGGCGACAGACCGTGCGGCGACCTCAGAACCCCAAGAGACCTCACCGTACGGTCCGTCACCGCACGGTCTTGGGACCCTGGAGGCCCCTGTCGCCCGAGACATCCTCAAAGAAGGACCCGAGTCCCAAAACCGTGCGGTGACCCCGAATCCCCACCGACTCACCACACGGTGTGGTCACCACCCCGTTTGGGAGCCCCCGACCCGTGAACGAGTGCCGGCCACGAGCCGGAGATTCAACGCGCGCCGCAACTGGCACGCGGCACGGCGTTGGCGGCACCGCGCGCATGGCGCCCCGCTGCCGAGGAAGGGGAGGCGGAGAGGTCCATCTGCACGCGCCACCTCGCGCAAGCATGCGAGGCGGGGGTTTGCCCGTATCCACCGCTTGGGGAACCGACGTTCTGGGGCCCCACAAGGGCGATGCACGTGGATAGAATTGGGCCCGAGAGGCCCCGGGCATATCCATATTTTCCGCCTGCCTAGGTTCTCAAATATCGGTTCTCTGGACGGTGGCTGTGGATGAGTGTGCAGTCATTCGCCAAGACGAATACGGTTTCTGGCAAAAGTGGGATGTGATGGTGTTAGCGCGTCGATCCCTTCGCCCGCGATGGGTATATCAGACATGCTTCATGTGGCTCAAGAGTCCGTTACGCTGTGGATCGCTGGGCCAATAGAACAAGATAGGGGGGAGAAGGGGCGACGACGGCGAACCGAATTTCACTCCTTTCGCGCGCGCGGAGGCGGACCCGCGGTGCCAGCGCTATGCGCGCCCTGCCCTGCAGGCAAGATACAGCTGCGGCAGGCGGCTGCAGGGTGGCTGCGGCGGCAGGGAGCGAGCAGGGAGAGAATTGAACAACTCCCGCCGCAGCGGGACGCGCAGGCCCCGCGGTTCGAACCCACCCTAGAGAACACCGCGGTTTCCTGGCCCCTCCCGGGGCACATTGGCCCCCCCGGCGCCGACCCCCTAAAACCTGCGCAGCGCAAGGGGAGGGGGCGCCGATAATCCAGCCGGATCCCCCTGAGGGAGGGCTGAAGCGGACCGACGAATCCCCCGAAAGATTTGCCCCTTGCGTCAAACGTGGACGCAAAAGTCCACGCGGACGCAATTATTTTCAATCCTTTTTTTCCGCAAGTAGCGCGCCGCGGCCGAGCCGCTGCCAGCAACTCACCCCCTCACCTCGCACGAAGAAAACTATAGCATCTATAATCATCGGCAGACCCACGCTGCCATCTCGTCTCACCGTTGCTCCACGCGAACATACCACCAAATGAAGGATCATCACGATCTCGGGTGATGTCCCACGAGCCCTGGTACTTGGCCCTGTAGTAGTTGCTCTGGGTAGCGCGTCCGCTCGACGCCTGGCGCCCGCCCGATGCGCGGCGCTCTGCCCATTGCCTTTCTTGTCCTTGATATGCCCCAGGCATCCGCTGCCCTGGCTCGCTATGCGATGCCGAGGCCTGCCTCGATCCAGCCTCGCGGCTCCTGCCCCGCGCCTGCACCGGCGGACTCCGTTCTTCTTCCGCTTCAGCATCGCGGCCCCGCTCTGGCCTCGGCGGCGGCGGCGGCAGCGCCTCGCGCCGCGCAGGCCGCCCGCGCGCGCCGTCGCGGAGGAGGCGGCCATCGGAGACGCCAGCCAGCACATCGCTGGCCACAGCCAGCACATTGCCCGCCGGCGCCGCGAGAAGAGTGAGAGGAACAGCAGAAGCACCGACTGAGTCGGCACCTCGGACACCCCCTTTCTTCAACCTCCCTAGGCCTCGACAGATCCGCCACAGGAACACCGCCCGCTAAGCTGGCAGCAATTCCCTCCGACATGAAAATGAAACACCGGGTATGTGTGAATGCGCAGCTGGATGCGCATGCCGCGACGCGACACCTTGCATCGGGCCATCCGCGGGTGCGCCAACATCGGCTGAGCCGATGTCCGGGAGTTCTATATTTGCGAAAGTGCGCAAAACTTCCAATGGCAACTGTGGCACTTGGCTGGCCATGTGGCCATGCTCGGCAATCAGTCGCTCCCGCATATCCGCGAATGCACGCGGTAATGGCCCCCATCCATGTCTTTGCCGATGAGAGCAGCCATCGCGATCTGCACCAGCCAACGATTCAGTCGCATTCTGGACTCAAGGCTGAGCTCCAATTCCGCAATGAATGTCTCCAAGTCCGAACTCTTCACTGCCTCTCCTGTATTCTCGTCACGTTCGCATGAATATATACGCGTCTGCTGCGGGCAATGGTCCACCCTATCTCCTGTAAGCTGTTTCCTCCACTGTTCCTGGGCATCAAGCACGTATTGCATTTCCGCTGAGAATGCGTTGCGACGTTCTTGCGCAGTGGAATCCATGATGTATTCCATGACTATGTCCATGATGCGTAGAGGCCCGCGTTCAAGCAAGGCTCGTTGAATGTTCTTTCCCAAGGAATCGTCGGTAAGCCGGTCTACTCTCTGTCGCGGCTCCTCCATCCACGAAGTGACCGAGCGCGGCGTCAATGGCTGCATGCTGCCGCATGCATTTGGACGCTGCCGACGCAAGATCACGTCCGGAATCCCACCAGCCCTTTGGGCGTGAGTGGTTTTGAGAGCCCGCTCTGTTCTCAGCCCTCCTTCCCCTTCGGGGAGGGGTTTACCCCTCCCCCTACCCCCTCCCCTTGCAATGGTCCCGCTTAGAACCACTGCCCTGATCGTAATCCTTGTTGATGATACTCTCTTCTCTCCTCCGACGCGTGCCGAGGGCACTGTTGGCGTTCGGGTCGAATCTGAGGGCAGTGCTGGTGCGATGCTGATCGCACTGTGGTGAAGAACAGGATCTGTTTGTCAGCGGGCAGTTCGCTGTCCTGCGTCTCTCGGACGCACACCAGAAGTCCAGCGTCGCTGAGACGCTGCAAAGGCTTGAGCCAGAACGGTTTCGGATGAACCTGTTCTGGGATATTATAATGGGGATCTCGAGGGATCTCGGAGGGCCTACTAAGCAAGGCTAGCTGCAGTCTGGAGGCTAAAAGGGGGCCCGATTCGCCGGGAAACGCTTGGCTAACATACATGGGGCTCCTTTGGAGCCTGAAGCTTATATCACGCACGGCCTCTAGAGGCCATCTGTCGTAAGTAGGCTCTAGTGAGGCAGGCTCGGGGCTGTGAATTGCATGCCCAAAAGCTAAAGATCGATGTTACGGCATCGAGACCTGCCTCTGGCCACTGAATTCACAGAAAGCACAGAGCGCGTGAGAGGCTTCACAGTGCCCCAAAGGGCTATATCTCCGGCAGGGGTCTCCTGCTCGTAGGGATTGTCGCGAGCGAAGTAGATCAGGGCCTCCAGCATAGCTTCATCGTCGTCTGCTGATAGCGGCTTGCCGTGGTCCAGCCTGTCCATGCCCTCTGTCTTGCGCTTCCTGGCACTGCGGTGCAGGGGGTCGTCCACGAGTCTCCAGCGCTGACCTGACCGGAAGAACTCCAGCAAGACCTTGGCGGCTCGATCCTTGGTGAGGCCGTCGGCTAGCATGGCATCGCTGTGGACCCAGCGTATCTGGAGGGCCGTCTGCTCCTTCTGCTGTCGAATGCCTAGACACTCGATGCTCGTCCGCTTGTCACGTAGGCCGAGACCAGCTGACTCGCTCTTCTCGATCGCGTCGTAGCCCGACTTACCGTCTGTGACCAGTACGCCAGGGCAGGATGAGATGGCGTCGTTCACGTGCTGCTTGTTGGTGTAGTCCACTTGGCCGCACTCTAACTCATAGATGAACAGGCGCACGTAGCTGATCTCGTCGAGGGTCTCTGTCATCATCTGAACCTCCGCACTCGTACTGCTTCTGGCCACTCGCGGTAGCTTGCATGATCTCCATGAGATAGGCGCTACCGTCTCTGTCGAGCCACTCAGGAAAGACAGTGGTGCCAGCACGATCATCTCGCCACCCTGGGACTCGCCAGTAATACGAGCGGCCCAGGCAGCATCGCCCCAGCCAACCACAGCGATCTGCTCGATGGCCGGGATGAGCATGACTACGTCGGCAGTGTCATTCATGGTGCGGATCAACTTGTTGATCTTCTGGATGGTAGAGACCGTCGCCGTAGGTATCTCCGCTTGGAGTAGAGAGACTTCTGCACTGAGCCACGGGGCCGACTGCTGAGCTCGCCATCCGACTGTACCAAGTCGGCCTCGTAGATGTGATCTCTCTTTGTCTGAAACTCCTTCCGTGGGCTTGCGTCCACGTCGTATCTTGATGGGCTCCACGTTCAGGCTGTAGCTGTCCTGTGCGAGACTGCAGGTGTAGTCCTCATTCTGTCGAATACTGATGCCGCACTGCACAAACGCTCGGCTCTCCCAAGGTGTCCACTCGAAGGCCTGTTGTATCTGCTGTCGTTTCTTGAGGAATGCCGAGTTGTGATGGTCGCCGGCGATCATCATGTCGTCGACGTGTAGGATAACCATGCCAACCAGCTTCGTGCCGTCTCGAATGACCCAGACGCACGGCTCGCACTGTATCACTTCCAGCTGCAGCGTCTTGAGCGTGTCCTTGAAATGGAGCCACCATTTGCGAGGAGCATGTACAAATCCGTACATAGGCTTGAGGAACTGCAGGACCTCGTCGTCTTTCATGCCGAAGGCCTGACGCACGTCCTTGGGCGGGTCCGCGTAGATCTTCCTCTTCTCCTCGTCCGTCTCGCCCTGGAGAAAGGCGGTCACTGCATCGGCCTTCTCCAGTTTCCACTTGTGTCTGGCTGCCATGGCCAGTAGAAGTTGACGTGCACGTCTGGAGGCAACGGGTGATTCTGTCCGTAGGTGCAGCAGGTCGGGGTCGCTGAAACCGAGCACGACCAGTCTGGCTTTGCCTCGTAGTACGTTCCCCTGGTCATCCTTCTTCCAGGTCAGCACGAAGCGACAGCGCAGCAGGCGCGCCGGGTCGATCCCCTGTCGGCTGAGGATCCTGACGGCCTTCGTGCTGAGGACTGAGGTGCACTCCTTCTGCTGGGCCTCGAGTAGCAGCTTCTTCTCCTCAGGCGTCGCCTTCTTAAATGAGACCTCCACTCGGCCCTTGCGGGCCTGCGATGCCACGAAGTTGCTGGGATCGTCCATGTAGGCCATGAACGCATGCTCGTTGCTGACAGGGATGTCCAGCACGATAAGTTCGTCGTTCTCCTTCATATCGTCGTACTGCTGGACACTGTAGGCATAGTCGCTGTAGAAGTTGCCCTCCTGCAGGTAGTAGGAGAAGGCCTCCTGGGTCGCAGCGTTGACCCGCTGCTTCTTAGCCGGGGGCTCGGTTGTGCCGGGCTCTCGGATCCGGCGCTTATCGTTCACGTCGGGCGCTGAGATATCGTCGAGGTCATCGTCAGTCTCCGCCACGATGGGCCGCTGCGACGCGCGCTCCTCCTGGTCGTCGCCGGGAGGGGCTTCCATGACGATCTCCTCCTCGATGGGCTGCTCAGCTGCCTCGGGTAGTCCAGCTTCGTGGCCGCCTTCCTGTGGAATGCCTGGGGGAGCTTCTGGCTGAGCTGGCTGGATGAGAGGTTCCTGGACCTCGGTTGCCTCGTTCCAGGGATTACCCTTCTTCCTCATACGTCTGGGAGGTCGCGGTCCAGGTAGAGGTCGCTCTTCCAGTCCTGGTGGCGCCGCCAAGGCTCCACCACCTCCGCCGCCTCCGCCGCCTCCTGGGTCAAGACTACGAGGATCTCCTTGTGGTACAGGACGATCATCGTCTTCAGAAATGGCCCAGGGTCCGCTCGCGTTGCTCTCGAAGGTGCGGGCGCTGACCGATTCACCGTCATCAGCGGCCAAATCCTCGCCAGTGGGCGGGGGCTCGTTCGATAAGTCGATCGCTTCATTGGTGTCGAGCTGCTTCTGGACATCGCCGAAGGTCCAGGTCCCCGGCTGCTCGCGGCGCGAGCGTAGGGAGTCCATCGCCTCCTCAGAAGGCGTGGCAGGTCGAAGTTGTTCTGGAGCAACTCGGTAGAGGCGGCCAGCCAGTGTGATATTGACCACCGTTCCAGGTAGACCAGGTCGGTGTCCCGAGCTCGCTGGCTCGTGACAAAGTACTCGTCCAGGTCCGTACCAGCGTCCTCGCCCAGGCATTGAGCGAGGCTGTCCCTTCTTGCGCCAGGCCCCTGGTGGGAGCCGTCGGTAGACGAAAACCAGATCGCCCGTCTCGTACTTCTTGAAGGACCTGAAGCGCGCGGCCTCCGCTCGCTTGACTCGGTCGGAGTTCTCGGTCTGGATGTGAGCCAGCCGCGCCATACGTCGTACCTGGGCGTCCCTGCTGAAGGTACCGTCCTGCAGCTCGGCACTGATGAGCGGCAGGTTGTTCGGCTCGTCCGACAGATTGACTGTCGTCCCAGTCGGCGTCCGTCCCGCATAGCGCTGCAGCGGGCTGAACCCGTCGATCCTGATCAGGTCGTTCCTGGCCGCCGTCTGGAGTCCGAACATCTCGCTGGTGGGTACTTCGGCTGAGACCATCTCGTCGAAAGCGTCGAGGGCCTCCTTGAAGGCTTCAATGGCACGCTCGATCTTGCCGATCTGCCAGTGGGCGTCGGCCGCGCATGGGAGACAGTAGACTCCCTGGCTCTCGATCCACTCGCGGAACTCGTCGGAGATGGCGCTGCCGGCAGGGTCGTAGCGCATGACCTTCGGGCGTCCCATCCAGGGGAACCATTTTGTAGCAAAGATATGCCGAAGGTCGCCTGCACGAACCTGCCGGGTAGTACCCGGGATCGGCTTCTCGTCGATCAGCCGCACGTAGAGGATGTCCGAGCCGGCGTCGAGTATCGCCAGCGCCATCACGTTCGTGTTCGTGCTGCGACGGATCCACGAGAAAGCGTCAAAAAGCACCTCGTGACCGTTTTGGGGCTGCTCTGCTGATGAGGCTGGTGGCCGCTTAGTAGGTGGTCGATGTGCGTCACATATGTCGCACTTGAAGGTTCTGGCCAAACGTAGCACCTCTGGCCGGGCGCCACGGTCGCGAAGGTATCGTAGTAGATGAGCTCGAGGTAGGTGTCCGAGGTTGGTATGAACCAATCTGATGTAGCTCTCGAGCTTCTTGACCGTCTCGTTGGTGAGGTTGTGCGCTTCCTTGCCGTCTCGTGGTGGAAGAGTCGGCTCGTCCTCCTCTGGCGTAGGCTCTGTCGGTGGCTGCTGGGTAGCTGCCATGCAGAGGCAGTTCACAACCTCGTCCTCGAAGTAGTTCTGGTTCTGGCTCTTGGTCAGAGCCCTGAGGATCCGGCGGCACAGCATCTTGGGGTAGGAGCCCGAGGCCTCGGTCCTCAAGCTGCTCTCTATCTCCTCGTGGTAGTGTCCTCCACGGCACTGTAGAGGTTGTAGGGCTACCCAGATCCTCCTGTCATTCGTCAAGAACTTCCAGCGCTTCTTCATGAGCTCGCCCGTGTCAGGGGCTCGTAGTCCGCAGGCGCAGCCATCCACGATCACCTCGCACGGTAGGATCTTGTGGAGATCCTTCCAGCAGGTCTTCTGCCACGAACGACTGTTGCGGGGCTGTTCGGCGAGGGCCGAGCCGTTCAGGTTGAGCACCTGGTGCTCGATGAGCCTCTTGTTGTTCTCGAAGATCCGCTGGCTCTTGAGCCGCTTCCTGCGAAGGTTCTCCTTCTGTTGATCGTTGCGCTGGTTGACGTTCTGCATTATCGACCATGGACCGCAGGGTGGTGCACTGACGAAGAGCTCCGGGCGCTTCTCGTCTAGCAGGAACTTCGCCTTGTGGTAGCCCTGCGGCTTGCTGAGGTCGTTCTCGTTGAAGAGGCCGAGCCGCTCGTAGTGGTAGCCCTTCTCGTCGCACACCTTCCCGAGATTCGAGTCCTCGTGGGTGCACGCTTCGACCATCGTCAGGCGGCCGAAGGTTGCGAGGGCGCACATGGCTCCGAAAATGGCCGACCTCGTCGTATGTGTAGCTGCCCGTATCGCCTGGCGCTGGTGGCCCTTCAGCGGCCTGCTCTCGTCGCCGCGCCACCGAGACCTCTCAGCCTGAATCTCACTCAGGCCTTCGTCCTGACCGCACACGCCTGGTGGCACCAACCGTAGAGCCTCATCTTCACGATCGGCTCGTTCTTGGCGATGCATCGGCGTAGCTTGCAGTCCGGGTGCTGGCACATCTGAGTGTCGTGAGCTGAGATCGCCGGGCCCACGGGCATTGCCGTCGTCTCCATCTTCTTGGCCTCCGTCTCCTTCTTGATCTGGATAGTCGCTGCCGCCGTGCCGCGCTGCTCGATGATGTACGCGATGATCTTGTCGATCACCTCCTCCTTCTTGCCAGTCTGGGTCAGTCCCCACATCTTGCACAGCGGCTTGAGGTGGTTGACCAACGTAACCATGCTGAGCTGCTCGTGGATCTGCTCCGAGCTCAGCGCTGCGAACGCATCCACCTCCGCAAACTTGGTCAAGAAATCTAACTTTGCGGTCTCGATGGTGGCTCGCAGCTCTTGATTCTGCTCGCGCGCGGCTGCTGAGGCTGCTGACCTCTGGGACAGGGGGCGCTGCTTCGGCTCCGTGCACGGCTGGCGCGGCTCGATCTTCGCACGATGCTCGATGTCCGCCGGCCAGGTCGGGTACCTCTCGGGTAGCAACTGCACAGGTAGTCCGAGGCTGTCCAGCTTCCAGTTCACACGATCGATCGTCTTGATGAAGACCTTCTGGATGATTCGCCCCCAGCGACGGCACTGCGTCCACTGCTGGAGAAGCTTGCTGGACCACATCTCCCAGTTCGGTAGGTGCTCCTGCAGGAAGGCGTCCGTCATCCGCTTCGTGCTGTTGTCCTGCTCCGAGCCCTCGATCGTGTAGAAGATGTGGCCCCTCGCGTCCTGATGAGCGATCAGTCGCCCCTGCGGCTGCATCCGTTGTAGTGTAGGCCGTGCCGGCGTCGACGTGGAGGTCGCCGCCGATGATCCCGAGTCCCGTAGCGAGGCCCGAACATCCACCTGCTCCCAAGGGCCGTCCATCTCCTCGTTCTCCAGCTTGATCTGCTGGCTCTCTGCTTTGCGACATTTCGCCTCGCGGTTGAGGCTCATGCGAATATGTAGGGCCAACTGGATGTTGTCGGAGCTCAGGGCTCGAATATGGAAGTATTACTGGTTGCTGGAATCGGAGCTCTGGGCTCGAATCGTTCGCACCAAAAATGGCTCTGGGAGACGGGGATGTTTCTGTTTGGAGCTCTGGAAACTCTGGGATCTCAGGGAAGGCCTCTGGAGATAACTCCGATAATGCCGTAGGTGATGGAGCCGGGGCTGATACGGATGATGTCCCGGACGTAAGTGATGATGTCCCCGACGTAATCAATGATGTCCCCGTACTTGTAAATGATGATGATGTTGCTGTAGGCGCAATTGGTGATGGTGCCCCCGTACTCGTAAATGATGATGATGTACATGAGGCCTGTAGGGCTCCATTATCTGGGACCTCGTCGGGGAACTCCTGGGGCGCCACTGCAGACGGTTTATCGTTCTCGCTTTGGATCGGCTGCTCTTTTTCATGTTTTCCCTCCGGCACCGTAGCAGTCTCGGGTGTCGAGGGCGTGGACCCCTACTCGAGAGATGCCACGAAGCCAAAATCGGCTTGTCGAACAAGGGGCAGTGCAAGATGACCGCTCGGAAGGACGAGCAGTTCAGCTCGGCGCCCGAGCTTCTTGAAGTAGACAGAATGTGCCTCGCAGTCGATCACAGCTCCTAGGCGGCTCAAAACATCCACTCCGATCAAGAGCGGGGCATCTGCGTCGAGGATGTTTATCTCGAGCTCACCGTCCACACCGGCGATCCTCAGAGGAAAGGTTGCCTTGCCGGTGCAGGTCTTGGCGTTGCCATCTCCAAAGATAAAGGTACTCTTCTGGCTAACGTCCATCTTGATGTTCTTGCCCGTCTGCTCATAGATGATATCGCGTAGGTTCTCGGCAGCCTCGATGCCCATGATGCTGGAGGTCGCGCCGATGTCCAGAATACCGAAGCCCTTGGAGGAGCTCTGCTTCACACTCATGAGGATCCAGTCGTCTAGCTTCTCCAGGGTTGGCCAGCTCGGTAGCTTCACATGATGGACTTGCTCCTGCCTCTCGATGGATTTCTCCACCTCTAGGTACTTCGTCTTCTCGAGCTGTTCCTTCGGAAGCTTCGGTCGATTCTTGATCACTGGCTTGTTGTTGAGCGTCGTCTCCAGCTCCAGGTGCGAGGTCTCGTTCCTGATGAGATTCGCCTCCATCTCGGCGTCCTGCTCGGCGCCGAAGAACACGTAGGCTCCGAAACCTCGCTTGGGTCGTTCACGATCTTTGCTGCTGGTGGAGGGAGCGCGGTCTTTATGATCCTTCGTTTCGTGATTGCCGCCACACTTCAGACAGGGTCCCTTACGGGGCGGCCGGCCCTGGGAGCGATCTCCATCACGTCGGGGTGGTACATCACGTCGTTGTCCGCTCCCTCGGCCTCGTCCTTTCGATGATCCAGAGCCTCGGGATCCAGCTCGAGGTCCCTGGAACTTGCGCTGTCCTCCGCGTCCTTCTCGCTTCTTGTTCTCGTCCACGGGGTAGAACTTCCTGGCGGTCTTCACTCGTCGGAGTAGATCCCGAGCTTCTTCGAAACTGCGCTGCTGGGCGGCGAACGCGGTCTCGGCCTCCTCGATCTCCTGGGCGCTGCAGAGCGGCTCCTCGGGATCTCCTTCGTCCTCGTCGCCGTCCGCGTCCTCATAGGTGGCCTCCGACTGGTCGCCATCGTAGTAGCTGTAGTCGTCGTCGTCCTCGCTGTTCTCCTCCCAGCCGGCGTGGATCCGACCTCGCTCGCGATGGCGATGGTTGTCCTTGCCGTGCTTCTTATCTCTGTTCGTCAGCTCGTCATCTGGCCAAGATACTCTTAGCTGCTCGCCGATGCTGTCGTAGTCGAAGTTGCCTTTGACTGCGCTGATAACTGCCGCACGCTCCGTCGGGGAAAGTCTTGATCTCTGCAGCAGTAGCCATCCGCGCAGCTGGTCAATGGGAATCGCCTGTTTGAAGTCGGTTCCGAAATCCGGATGCTCGGGGATCTCCTCAAGACCTGTCCGGATGAAACTCCAGAGCTGGTGGTTCAACTCCTTGGCCTTGTCGGCGGCGTCCTCCGGGCCCTCCTGCTCGATCTTGTACAGGAACCAGTTGAGCTCTGAGTAGAGGGCGTTCCATTCTTTTGACCTTGCCGACAGCCGAGCCGTGCGCTGCTTCTTGAAATACTCGGTGTCGAAACCCTTGACCACGTCGTGGTAGGCCTCATCGTCTCTGCTGATGTAGCTCGGCATTGGCTCTCCAGTGTCTCGACGAAGATCGAAGATCCATCTGGCCAGATATTTGCCTGCATCCTGGATGGGCTGAGCACCGAGCTTGGCGCGAATGTGTCGCAGTAGCTCAGCTGCACCGTCGTCTCTCTCAATGCGGTCCCAGTCCACATCCTTGGCTGCTTGTCGTGCTCGACCTTCTAGTCGTCTCCACAAACGAGGGCCACATACATATCGTTCATCTCGACGGGTGCCTCGGATGTAAGCTTTGACATCTCTCTCGTAATCGTCCACCGTGGTGAGATCTCCGTTCCACTTCGGTATGATGTCATCGTTGTTATTGTTATTCCTCGTCATGACTCAAACGATGAACTTCTATCCGTGAATCTGTTGTCCGTGGAGCTTGAAAGCTCCGCTACCATGCAATGGTCCCGCTTAGAACCACTGCCCTGATCGTAATCCTTGTTGATGCTACTCTCTTCTCTCCTCCTGACACGTGCCGAGGGTACTGTTGGCGTTCGGGTCGAATCTGAGGGCAGTGCTGGTGCGATGCTGATCGCACTGTGGTGATGAACAGGATCTGTTTGTCAGCGGGCAGTTCGCTGTCCTGCGTCTCTCGGACGCACACCAGAAGTCCAGCGTCGCTGAGACGCTGCAAAGGCTTGAGCCAGAACGGTTTCGGATGAACCTGTTCTGGGATATTATAATGGGGATCTCGAGGGATCTCGGAGGGCCTACTAAGCAAGGCTAGCTGCAGTCTGGAGGCTAAAAGGGGGCCCGATTCGCCGGGAAACGCTTGGCTAACATACATGGGGCTCCTTTGGAGCCTGAAGCTTATATCACGCACGGCCTCTAGAGGCCATCTGTCGTAAGTAGGCTCTAGTGAGGCAGGCTCGGGGCTGTGAATTGCACCCCTCTGGGCCTGGAGAGGTCCTTTCGCGGGTGGTCAGGGGGGTCCTTTTCGACTCCTGGGAGGGCTAAAAAACGACACCCCTCACGAGGATTCTGGCCCCGACGGGGGGGGCAAGAAAAAATGCTCTCCTCTTCTTTGAAGCCAAAATCATTGATTTTACTACGGTTTTGGCCCCATTTTGGCCTTCTGAGGGGGCAGCGCTCATTACAGCTCCCCTCTTCCTTCAAGGCAAAATCATTGATTTTACGAAGGGTTTGGGCTCATTTTGCCCTTCTCAGGGGGCAGCGCTCATTGAAGCTCCCCTCTTCTTTGATCCATCCCCTCCACGATGGCCCCAAGAAGCGCCCAGGAGGCACCAAGAGGCCCCAAGATGGCCCCAAGAGGCCCCCAGGAGGCCCCCAAGAGGCCTCCAAGAGGCCCCCAATATGCCCCCAAGAGGTCCCCAAGAGGCCCCAAGAGGCGCCGAAGACGCCCCAAGAGGCCTCCAAGAGGCTCCCAAAGACATCTACTACTACTTCTACTCCTACGATTACTACTACGACCACTATTACTACTCATACGAGTATCACTACATCACCTCCTACTACTACAACTACAACTACTATTACGACTACTACTAGTTCTAGTCTACTACTTCTACTCCTACTCCTACTCCTACTCCTACTCTACTACTACTACTACTACTACTACCTACTCCTACTCCTCCTACTCCTCCTACTCTACTTCTACTCCTACTACTACTACTACTACTACTACTACTACTACTACTACTACTACTACTACTACTACTACTACTACTACTACTACTACTACACCTACTACTACTGCTACTACTACTAGTACTGCCACTACCACTGCTACCAGTACCACTGCTACTAGTACTACGGGGACTACTACTACTGCTACCACTGCTACTAGTACTACTGGGACTACTACTACTACTGCTGCTCTTAGTACTAGGACTACTACTTCCACTATTACTATTAGTCATATTCCTGCTACTACCACGACAACTACTACAACTACTACGACTACCCTCACTACTCCCAAGAAACGCCCAGGAGGCACCAAGAGGCCCCATTATGGCCCCAAGAGGCCCCCAGGAGGCCCCCAAGAGGCCTCCAAGAGGCCCCCAAGATGCCCCCAAGAGGCCCCCAAGAGGCCCCAAGAGGCTCCACCGAGGCACCCAATACGCTCCTGGAAGCCCCTGGGGCCGCCAAGAGGCCCCCAAGACGCCCCAAACGGCCTCCAAGAGGCTCCCAAGAGGCCTGAAGAGGCTCCCCCAAGGCACCCAAGACGCTCCTAGAAGCCCCTGGGGCCGCCAAGAGGCCCCCAAGACGCCCCAAAAGGGAACGAGGTGCCCGAACGCCTCACGCCACGAGGAGCCCGAACGACTCACACCAGAGGAGGGGGGAACCTCACAGGACGAGGCGCGGCGACACACCACACAGGGAGCCGAAACGCACGACGGGCCCCGAACGACTCACACCACGAGGAGCCCGAACGAGTCACACCAGGAGGAGGGGCCCGAACGACTCACACCAGGACGAGGGGCCCGAACAACTCACACCACGAGAAGCCCGAACGACTCACACCAGGACGAAGAGCCCGAACGACTCACACCACGAAGAGCCCGAACGACTCACACCAGGAAGAAGGGCCCGAACGACTCACACCAGGACGAGAAACCCCAAACGACTCAAACCACGAGGAGCGCTTTCTCTCCCTCCTCCTCCGCCTCGTCCTTCTCCCGCTCCCACCACAAGGAGGATGTACAAGGAGGCGGGAGGAAGGAGGAACAGGGGAGATATGCGGGGGCAGGCAGAAACACGCCTGAAAAACACGACTGTCGGCATGCTTCGCAAGAGTTGCTGTTTTGAGATGGGCTGGTGGGGATACGCGAAGCGTAAAGAATTTTCGACGCCAATCTCGGCCCGGGGATTCTTCGACTAGTCCATCGCTCCATTAGAGAACGTTTCTACTACGGGGCGTCCCATCGCATCTAGGGCCCCCGCAATCACGAACATACTTTCCTGGATATCAGACATCACTCCGGTCCTCGCAATATTGAGTTGCAATGTTTCTTCAATATCTCCGTCACCGCCGGGCGGATTCATCACGAGCAAAGCTCCCGGGCCTTCTTCGCGCCTGATCTCGGGTCCGCCCGCGCCATGGCGATCGGCGTCGCAGAAATTGGGGCGACGTGGGCCAGGCCCCAGAAACTCGCGGTGCCTGTGCGCTTCTTCTGAGGTCATGCGCGGTCGATCTTTCGGGGCCTTGACATTTGCGACGGGGAGTTCGATGCGGGTGCATGGACCGCTAGTTGTGAGTCTCACCCTGCTTCACTCTGGAAGTATTCACCAATTCACCAATGACGCGGTCGCGGCGAGTTCAGTCCCATTCGCTACAAGTCCCCCCCCCCCCCCCAGGGTTCCCATCCAATCTCTGGTTAAAGTAAGTCATCCTGTTCATTCGGCCAATCGAACGCCCTGAGAGGGGGGCACCCCCATTGGAATCTCAATGTTATCGATGCGTTTTCACACAATGGGCCGCCTCTCGACTACCCTGGCGCCATCCCTCCCCCAATTCTTGCATGATATGAACCCTGCATGAGTGGCTCAAGGAATCGAAGATATGGCTCATATCAAAACGGAGGGCATCCTTTTGATCAGCCGTCCAAACAAGGATGGGGACACGCTGTCCTGGCAAGGCAAATCATTCCCGCCTTCGACAGCGCAATCATTTTGTGTTCTCGTAGGATTCCAATTTCTCGTTGACATTATGTGAGGAACTAATAGGTATTTCCTTCCTTCCTTCAGGATCGGGCGACTCGTCTCCGTCCTGGCCGAATGCCCATCTTGAAGCGCCCTCTCTGAGGCAGCGATTCATTTCGTCAGTTGATGAAAATTCGCGGCGTGCGCGATGCTTTCGAGATCTCACTGCAGACGCATTGCACGCAGGGCGCCGACGCATTCCCACGCGGACGCAGTGCAAATGCGCACAAAGTCGCCCTCGCGCATGGCTGGGCCATAATGTTGTCCATCGTGGGTGATATTGAAAGTCTCGTCTGATGGTAAGGCAGCCGTAATTTTCCGTTAATCAGAAGTGACCTCCCTGTGCGCCCTCTAGAAGTTATACATGCTGAGCCACGACGTGTCGCAGGACAACCATACGTCAGCATGTTCGCAGAGAATGACTTTGTCAACGTAAGCCCATGCAGGAATTTCCTTGCAAATGGCCGACCCGTCAAGAGCCACTCTGAACTTCTTGCCGTAATATGGATTTGCGTGGAACGGCACTATGCCACCACATTTCTTCTGATGGTCCGGGCAGCCACTCAGAATTTCCCTGCAGCTGGGGAGCTGATGACCCACTGTCGATGCCCATCTGCACCGTCGAGACGTTCTTTCATTGTTGTCACCTGGTCTGCTTCCGTGGACTGCCCCGCCTGGCTGAGTCAGTTGGGGGGGGACTGGATAACGTCTGGACGCGCGTCGTGAGTGCCATTGGGAAGAAGCCTGACTAGGCCGTAGCCATGGGAAGCAAACGACCCGGCATCTTTTTTCGGGCATGCAAAATCACCTGATTGCCAACGGATGACAGTCTCCCTTGCAGTAACATGTACCAAAGTGCAGTGTTTTGGAGACATTGTTATGTGACCACACGGCAATTACATCCGCTCTATTTCTACAATCGGAAACGAATGTCCTTTGATTGGCTCGGATCAAGATAGGAACTTGTAGGTTCCACAGGTAATCCCTACTGTCCGATCCAATCGGGCATTCGATGTTCGCTCATCTTCAATCAAGAACCCCCAAACACCAATTATCTGTCCGACTGAATCGCAATAGTAGCCGCCGCTCAGGATGCCAACCACGTGCATGGCGCCCAGCGAAGGTATGGATACCCAATGCATTGCTAGAGCGAATGTGTGGTCATTGTATCCGCCCGCATGTAAATTCTCCACAATCCCCGGAAACGGACGCCGCCACGCCGAATTCGCGACGAGGTATGTCGAGCGACGGAGCATACATCATATGAGATCGGCTATGGGCCGGGCCTTCCTAGCAGTCCGCCTGCCCAAGCGGGCCCAGGAATCTTTGCCGCCAGAACAAGTTATACAAACAAGGGGAGATTGGCCAATCGCGAACGGCGCGAGTTTCCTCGGGGCACGCGGCGATCAATCAAAGACGGTGTTGCGCGATCCCCAATGCGCGACCATAGATTTAAGAGCGCAAGAATGATCTTCTGCCGGGTAGGTCTTCGGCAACACGAAAATCTGATATTCCTGGACTTGTGCAATTGCATGCAACGACTGGAACGCGCGGCTTCTGAAAGCCATTATCTCCCCCGTCACTGGTCTGCGCTGCGTGCCCACTCGACTCGACGTTTGATGAAATCATAAATATGATCGGTTATGTCCTCGCCCCTAAAATCGGACTCC